GATATTGTGATTTCAATTTGATTTGCAAATTTATTTTGTAGCTTCAGCTCAATAATCTGTATCGTAGCTACTTACTGCTAAAATGCAGTGAGTGTTAGTTAAAAAAGAAACTAAAAATATATTAACTACAACTTTTATTCAAAATTTGTTTTAAATTTTGCTACTAGATTGAGTGTCACTGGCAATACATTTAGTTAACCTTTTAGCAAGACACTCTTCATATAGCCGCCTGTGGTGCTTTTTTAGGTGCTGGTTGTTGTATTTCCTCATGCTGTGGCAACAATTCTTAAAAATTACCAGCTTTTGTTCGGTGTCTGTGACTTTGAAACCAAAATATTCCCCTATTACCGATGTCCTGTTTTTCTTTGATATTAATTTGTCTAATAACACTTCTGAAGGGGCAAATGCCATCACCCCACTCGTCCGTCTGTTCGTTTTTTTTTTTATTGTGGGAGTTCCGCATAGTGTGGTAGCGCAATTCTGATTGAGCAAAACAAAAGTGTGCTGACTCAATTGGCTAGTAAGACTAATCACACACAGACGGCAATCACGCATTTGCTCTGGGTGGGGGAAATTAAATAAAACAAATATATTTTATATCGAAGCCTCTTGCGATTAGCTAATCACAACTTTTTGAATCGCGATTGCGATTCGATTTCGATTAATCGCACAGCCCTAGATTCTACTGACGAAAACTAGATGAAAACTAAATAAAAATTAAATGATGATGTCTACATCTATAATAAAAAATATACTGACATTTTCGTAGACTAAACAAAAGTAAAATGAGAATGTGATTGGGGACGTTTTTTGGAAAATATCCAATCAGAATTAATCTTGGTGTGTGATGCATGAGGCAAACCACATTTGAACAGTAACTGATCCACAGTAGACGCGGGATGCGATTTACAACATCCTAAAACTAGAGTAGATTTAGTCGACTAAAATCTTATAAAATTTAGTTGACTAAAACTGGACTAAAACTAAAATGATTCAGAAGACTAAAATATGACTAAAACTAAAATGGAATTTTATTCAAAAGACTAAAACTAAATCAAAATTTGCTGTCAATACTAGCACTGCAGCTAGACTCAATAAAGTTAGGCCCTTCATAAGAAAACGTTTGGGCACCCCTGATCTAGAGTAAATTATGATTCATATTAATCAAACAAAGGTATAAAAAATAATATTTTAAAACTGAATACAATTCTCGAAATCACACTAAATATTTAGAGAATCACAGAAAACAAGGAAAAAGAGCAAACGCATTACAACCCAGCAAACCCCATCAGGGGCCCCTGCACCCCATATTAGCGTTTAGGGATCTCAGGTGACCCTTGACCTAGAAGCAGTTCTTGGAGTTCTGGGTGAAGAATCCGTGGGGTTAATCTTGCCATTCAGCTTCACCCCCACATCTAAGCAATACAACACAAACCGAAACCATCTAGCACCACCCCAGTGCGGTGTGTGTTTGCACACAAGCAGGTTTTCCCCCTGAAATCCAGACTGGAGAAGATGGCATATGTTTAACATTACGCAAATCTGCTGAAGCGGCAGGGCACACGAGAGAAATCTCCACTGTGGCAGCATTCACAAAGACAGGATCCCCTAATCACTGGCCGTTACAGGTCGTTTATTATACATTTCGGCACAGTCCGCTATGACACACGCTCAGATTACCTCATTTAAGAAGGACTACTGCTCGCAACCCAGACCGCAAAGAATGTGGCCGCTTTCAGAAGTTTCGGTTATTGCATTTTTGCGTTCATTACCTCGAAACCAAAAATCAAACAAGCAATTTTAAATTTAACAATTCAACTGAGGAGGAGTGTTGGGGATATTTCCTAACAATGCTGTTACGACAAGTTATGATGCATCTGAATAAATGAACAACTTTGAAGCACAAAACTCAAAAGAATATCAAAAATAATCTTCAGATTAGAGAAAGCAATCGCTTATATCAGTTTTTCCAATAAATAAAAACCTAATTGACAGCAAGCAGAGTGGTAGTTGGCCAAGTATAGGGTATAGTTAAAAGAAAAGATCAAGAATGTGGTCTTGCAAATTAAGGCAATAATATTTGCTTTATAAGTACTAATAAAGTGCATCATAACATGAACATCATAACAACTTTGAAACACAAAACTCCAAAAGCATCTTAAAAGTAAACTTCAGATTAGAGAATGCATTTACTTATAACAGTTTTCCTTATAAATAAAAACCTAATGTACAGCATGCAAGGTGGTAGTTGACGAAGTATAGGGTTAAAAGAAAAAAAAAATCAAGAACGTGGTCTTGGATATTAAGGCAATAATATTTGCTTTATAACTAATAAAGAGCATCATAACAACTTTGAAACACAAAAACCAACTAACTCAAAAACATCTCAAAAATAAGCTTCAGATTAGAGAATCACTTATAACAGTTTTTTCTAAATAAAAACCTAATTTACTTTACAGCATGAAAGAGGGTAGTTGAAGAAGTACAGGGTATGGTTAAAAAATCAAGAACATGGTCTTGCAAATTAAGGCAGTATTATTTGCTTTATAAGTACTGATAAAGGGCATCAAAACAACTTTGAAACAAAAAAACCAACTAACTCAAATGCTTCTCAAAAATAAACTTCAGATTAGAGATTCACTTATAACACTATTCCCTGAATAAAAACCTAATTTACTTTACAGCAAGCAAGGTGGTAGTTGACCAAGTATAGGTATGTTAAAAAAAAAAAAATCAACAATGTGGTCTTGCATATTAAGACAATTACGTTTGCTTTATAAGTACTGATAAAGTGCATCATGACAACTTTGAAACACAAAAACCAACTAACTTAAAAGCATCTCAAAAATAAGCTTCAGATTAGAGAATCATTTATAACAGTTTTCCCCAAATAAAACCCTAATTTACTTTACAGCACGAAAGGTGGTAGTCGAAATATAAGGTATGGTTCAAAAATCAAGAATGTGTTCTTGCAAACTAAAGCATTAATAAATGCTTCATAAGTACTGAAAGTGCATCATGACAACTTCGAAACAAAAACCAACTAACTCAAAAGCATCTCAAAAATAAACTTCAGATTAGAGAATCACTTATAACACTATTCCTTAAATAAAAACCTAACTTACTTTACAGCACTAAAGGCGGTAGTTGAAGTAAAGGGTATGGTTCAAAAATCAAGGTTTCCTGCAAATTAAAACAATAATAGCTGCTTTATAAGTACTAAGAAAGAGCAAAATAACAACTTTAAAACACAAAAACTAAATAACTCAAAAACATCTCAAAAATAAGCTTCAGATTAGAGAACGCAATCACTAATAACAGCTTACACTATTAATAGAAATGTAATTTATTTGATTACTCGATAGTTGACAAAGTATGGATGTTTAAAAAAAATCAAGAATGTGGTCTTGCAAATTAAGGCAATAATATTTGCTTTGTAAGCACTAATTTACTAATAAAGAGCACCATAACAACTTTAAAACACAAAAAAGCATCTCAAAAATAATCTTCAGATTAGAGATTGACTTATATTAGTTTTCCCTATAAATAAAGACCTAATTTACTTTACAGCAATCAAGGTGGTAGTTGATCAGGTACAGGGTATGGTTCAATAACAAAGAATGTGTTCTTGCAAAATAAGGCAATTATAAGTGCTAATAAAGAGCATCATAACAACTTTGAAAAACAAAAACCAAATAACACAAAAACATCTAAAAAAATAAGCTTCAGATTAGAGAACGCATTCACTTATAACAGCTTTCCCTATAAATAAAAATCTAATTTACTTGATAGCAAGCAAGGCGATAGCTGACAAAGTTTAGGGGATGTTTAAAAAAAATCAAGAATGTGATCTTGCAAATTTGGGCAATAATAATTGCTTTACGTGCACTAATATACTAATAAAGAGCACCATAACAACTTTAAAACACAAAAAAGCATCTCAAAAATAGTCTTTAGATTAGAGATTCACTTATAACAGTTTTCCCTATAAATAAAAACCTAATTTACTTTACAGCAGGGAAGGTGGTGGTTGACCAAGTATAGGTTATGGTTCAATAATCAAGAATGTGTTCTTGCAAATTAGGGCAATAATAAGTGCTTTATAAGTACTAATAAAGTGCATCATAACTTTGAAACACAAAAGCCAACTAACTAAAACGCATCTATAAAAATAAGCTTTAGATTAAAGAATGCATTCACTTATAAGAGTTCCCTAATTAAAAACTTAATTTACTTGACAGTAAGCAGTTGACTAAGTATAGCGCATAGTTCAAAAATCAACAATGCAGTCTTGCAAATTAAGGCAATAGTATTTGCTAAGTACTAATAAAGAGTCATTTAAACAGCAATATGCATGCTTTTACACAATAGTGAATAGTATGTTATCTAATCTAAAATGCTAGCATTTCTTAGTCACAACATTAACAAGAATTAAACAAAATCAAGCAGTTGTAAAATCAAGCTGCGCTCATTTTTATGAGCAATGCAGAAAAACCTCCTGAAAGGAAGTCTGTCAAATCCAGCGATCCACAAACACAGTGGCAGAGAAGAATACCAGAGCACAGTATCACCTGGTCCACAAATGTAGAGCTCAAAGAAACCCCCACAGACTCAAAAATACTGCTTGTGTGGCCTATCTTATTACTCTAGAGAAAACCCACGGATAGTCAAAAAAGTCAGAGGAAAGTAAGTCAGTAAATTCTACTGTTCCACGTAATAAACGCCAAAGCAGGGGATGATGGCCTTACTGAAGATCAAAGCGGTCGAACAGCTTGAGCTATCTAGCGGTCTAGATTACTGGCCTGAACTACAGGAAGACTGGGTTAAAAGTTACCATAAATAAAGCTACAACCTCACACACACACACACACAAAATAAAGTTTTCGCCGTTAATCTCACACATTAGTTTAGTAGATGTGCAACACGACTTGCATCAAAAACCACAACGCCACAAGAAATCCCTGGGTTTTGGTAGAACACAATCGCACATATGTACATACCTCTGTTAAGCATTGGGTTATAGCATTATCTCACTCAAATCCAACAGGGAGGCGGTTATCAAAGCTGGCAGAGTATCCAAAGACCCTTCCCTGAGGAGCCCTCCGAGGTATCCTTTATTCCACATCCATTCTGGCCTGGGAATCATTCCATTTCTTTCTCCACAAAAGTTTACTCGCTCTATGTGCGTTGCTTGTGAAATGCGTCGTCCTGTACTTCCTTTAGAAGATCTCACAGGTGCAGATGATCCTGTACGCGATGGGTGACCACACCAATCTTCTCGATCACTGTAACGAAACAAAAACACACACACACGCGTTTAGCGATAAAGATGTGTTTTGTGTACTATAAGGAGGAGGGTTAGCACGTACTCACAAATTAAAAACGTTAAATACTGAACAATAAAAAAAGCTGTTGGAAGAAGCTCAAAAGGCGTAACAGAAACCGCAATAGACGCACAAAAGGAGCAGAGAGAAATCCTGTGTCATGTACTCAGGCAGTCTGACAGCAGCTTTCATGAATGGGAGCTCTGACAGTACGGGCCCTCTGGCCGACCAAATTGGAAACAGGAAAACAAACATTCTCAAGGAAAACTCCCCCCCCCACCACCACCACCAGCGTAAGCCCTCCTCCCCCCCACAAACCTTTTCTTCGACTCATTCTGTCCAACCTGTGTCAGGTTAGCAACAGTCAACAGCACCAGCCTCCAGACCACACAGATGGAGAACGTTCAGCCACCGTGAGATGAAGAGAGGGAAAAAAAATAGACGAAAAAAGCAACCTGTTTGCGAGGTAAAAGAACACACACCACGATAGAAAGGAAAAGAGAGAAAGAAAAAGACGGCTAAACTGACTCATCGGCGTTCCAGAGGGCCCGGAGGACAGGAGGATCGGCAGACAAACTAAACTCCGAGCGGGGTGGAGAGGAAGTGGGCACTGCTGGAGGATCTGAGCTCAAAGCTCTCAAAGTTCTCTCCAAAAATCTGATCTGAAAGTTTTCTGATATGAAGCCGAGCACCGAAAGACGAAGCTAAGCTAACAAGTTTTGTGTTTCATAATAAATACTTGTTGATGCTCTAACTTTAGCAAAGCCAGTTCATATGAAACACAAACCTAACGGGAAGCGCTCTGAAAAACCACACCAATAAAAGGTCTAGCATTTAAACAACAGAAAGTTTTTAAATTCCTCAAAAAGAGTCGTCAATGAGTAAGAATGAAGACTTAGGGGAACTCTGATTTCTTTTCTCCGCTCGCAGTGCAGCCTACTACTGGGAATACGACAGTTTTCAGTCAGCAAACTTTACCAGATGTACGCTAACCGCTAAAATATTACACACCACATAATTAGCCTAACAAGTGATGTCAAACAGATCTGACAGAGTCACAGACCCAAACCGTCTCTTATCTGGGAGAGTTTTTAAATGCTCTTCAGCTGTGACTTTTAAAAAAATATGCCCTTAAAATAAAATACTAATAAATATACATTGAAGCTCAAGCTTTCTTTGCAGGATAAAGGAGGTTGCTTCGACAGCTAGGCATAAGATTCTGACGGTATGATAATCTCGGATTTCAATATCATGGTTTTAGGGTATTATGATTACTGTTCTTTTTAAATCTCTTGGTAAAAAACAAAAACTTTTTTTCCCCTTTGAAAAAAATATATTTTATTTTTTGTAAGATTTTTGGTGCAGTAAACATGTAAGGCAAAATAATTAAATTTAATTATAGACTTCTGATTTCAGTACAAAACACTGATTTTTTTTATAATTTAAAAAGGCGTCTTTGGATATTTTTTTCTGCTGAAGATATTGTTGTCCTAAAAAAATCTTACACAAATATCTTAGGAACGGTACAGCAGAAAATGTTGGCGGTTTTAAAACCGTGACCGTTCCAAACTGCGGTATACCTTGAAAACAGTAATCATCCCATGCCTATCGACAGCACAGGTCAAAGGTCTGCGTGTTTCGTTCTCACACAGGGTGTGAGAAAAAAAAAGGTAAAGAGAGCAAGATTTCTTCTAACAAAAGAAACACATAAACTCAAAGCTCTTAATTCAGATTAGCCCAATGTTAGTTTCATAAACCGCCCCGAGTGACTTCACTCACTCACACACACAAAAATACACTTTCCTAGTTAAGCCATTTATCATCAAAACTACTCACATTGCAGGAAAGTTTAGCAAAAAAAAACTAGAACATGACTGGTATAACTCACCATAGCACGTCTATAGCACACATCCAGAGCCATTTAGTGACTTCAAAACACAGCTAAAAACAGGATGAAAAGCATATGACGAGACAAGGGACGACCTCTGTGAACCGCAGCTCTTTTATTCTAGAAAATCCGGAGGGAAAAAGACTGGCTATTCATATGCAGGCTAAATCAAATATATGGTAGAAAAGCTTTTAAGGGTACCAATTATTAAGAGCTGTCTCTGTGTAAACCTTGGCATTTCATCTGGCGGCTACAAAAGACAATTCTAAAAGTTTCCCGTCTCCCGTGTTTGGAGATTTCTAACCACAAAAACACTAAACAAAAAGGAATTTCTATAAAGTCACTGATGCGTCATTTCAAAACACGAGCAGTGATGGGAGTCTGCAGACTTGTCTCTTTGCATATAGCGAGTGGAAAATATCAATATGCAGTTACCAAAAATGAAAATTTATATATATATATATATATATATATATATATATAACAATTTAATTTAAGTTTAACGATGATAAAAAAATTTATAAAGTTAATTTGCAAAGAACAAAAGTTTTTATAAGTGTGTTTGTGTTGCAACAAATTAGAAAAAGCATCATCTGGTTTGAGTACAATTTCTAACAAGCAAGAAAAGTTAATGTTTTGAAGTCTAGTTACAATGTGTTCTTTGCAAGCAAACACCTGGGTTTAATATCTTAATGCGATCCATTCTCTATCTCCGGCTTTTAAAAAAAGGAAAGAAAGAAAATTGTCCCCTGCGATTTATTTTCTCCATTCAGCAGCACCAACGCCACATGAATCTGCTGCGGGGACACGAGTGGCAAATCTCTGTGCGGCAAGAAGTTAGCCCAAAAAGAAGTTGTGCAAACTCAGAAGCCACCAAGAACAAATGGAAGACCCCCACTGCTGCTTTCTCCCTCCACCAAGGCCCAAATTCATTTGTCAGCCGTAAAGTTCCTGACTATACAGCGCTGATCTATTGCCTCTCTCCAAAGAGCTCACAGATGTGGAGTCATTTACATTTCAAATACACCTCAAGCTTTTCAATCACTTCAAACGCGCCTTATCAGACAACTCATGTGGATCTTATTCTTCTGTGTCGACCGAGAAGCAAATGGGAGCGCTAAATAAAATTAATTTTGAATGAATGTTTACGATGCACAAGAAATTAAATAATATTACGAGCAGATGGAGATTTCATCTTCTGATCTAAGCAAAATCACAATAGTTGAAGTGAATTAAGTCCTTGGAGAATATAAAAATAAAATGCAAGTGGAAAACTGTAGACGCGTGATGATGACAGAGCTGAGGTTCCCTGTTGACTGTATGTGAAACTTTGTTTACAGTTGGGAGTTTCTCTATATGATGACCTGCATTTGCCTGCACGGGCTTTGTCATTAAGAAACTTTTACTGACAAACTATTTCAGTAAGAAAAAAAGAACATATCATTTCCAGACTGCCCGAGTGTGGCAACTTTCAGGGTTTACAGGAAACATCGCAAACTCATCTACTGGAACCAACATAGGATTTCATATCTTCAACAATCAGACACAGGTTACGCTCGAGTGAAGTGTGGGTGATTTTATCAGCTTTGAGATAAATACTTGTTTCCACCCACTTGAAGATACTAATGACATCTAATGTGAAAGTGACTGTAAAACCAAATTAACTGGAAACATAACCACAGTTGCAGAACTGAGGAGTCAAAATACAAGTTACTTACGACATACACAACGAATATCTACTAAACACATATCAAATATGTTCCTACTGTCTGACTGATAACATCAGAAAGCAAACGATAAGAAGAAAACGACTATGTGTCAATAGAAAATGGACACAATCCACACACATGCCTTCATATTAGCGGATTAAAACAGACTTATTTAAATTCCTTCAGTCGAGAAAGTTTTGTTTTAGAGAAAGGGAGAGAGTGATAAGCTCCATCACGCCACTATGGTCACGCCACAAGAAACTTTGTGAACTACAGCCCCCCAAAAACACACCTAAGTGCGAAAGTTGCCCACAAAGACGCTAAAGCAAATACTGAAAACTGTTTCCCACGAGTTAACTTTTACAGGTTAACAAAGAAACATCCAAATGAGGAAAATACCCACAGTCAGTTACCGCTATTCACAAAGTTTTCCTCAGAAACGTGCCGCGCGTCTCCATCGCCTCGAAGAGCACATCTTTCCACAACAAAAACCGCAAAATGTCGATTAAAAAGCCTGTTAGGATCCGCGGACTGTCATGTAAACAACTGCGAACTTCTTTGTGTGTGGAAAATGAAGTGTAACGTTCAGCGCGTTGCCATGCCTACGCGTTTTCTTATCGTACATCAGTTACGGAAAGTTTTCGAAGTTTGTGTGGAAAGCGCCATTCAGCTCGAAGCATCATCATTTACGCAAAAAAAAACAGTAGCCTACACACTTGATGAAACTTTGTAGAACTTGAGTTGGGAAGCCATTAGCTACTTTAGCGCGCCGGTTTACACGTAAACAATGCGCCCCGGTCGCGGCTTACATTATTACTACATTCTGGATAATATCTTGCGCAAAACGCGTTGCAACACGGCGTGAAATGGCTGAAGAGAAATGGGAAGGAGAGCAAAACACCTCTAAGAAAAACTACTGGGAGCTACGAATTAAACTGGCGACAATTTCGCGAATGGCACGTCGAAATCCGCTCTTATTTTTTTGCATTTGCAAAGTAGCAGCACTCAACTGATTCAGCAGCAGCAAATCCCTTCGCCCTTCTCTCAACATTACATAACATTCACCCCTAAAAGACATCAGGAACTACAGGCTAAAACGCACATCGTTCTTCTGCCGTGATCGCAATGCTCATTGATTCGCTTTCTCCTTACCTGTTGATTAAATTGCAATAGTCTTTGCAGTCTGAAAGATGGTGGAGCTTTGGCGTGAGCCATGGAGCGTCTTTGTGTTGTTTGTTTGTTGATCTCGGGCAATGATTTCTTTTTTATGGGGATGTAAGATTGCGAATTGCTCCTGTACACGTGAAATCTTGGGAGACTGTGTTTGATAGTAAAAAAACGCCTGAGTCTGGGGTGGAAAAAAGGAGGCTGGTTTTTGCAGTGATCTCAGTTCTTTATCAGAAATGTTATCGCTTGTCAGGACCTCAGACTCCAAGCATTACGTCAGTTTCAAGACACCAACACTATTAATATCAAGAAGCCCTTGCGGAGGAAAGCGCCACCCTAGAGCGCGCACTCTTAAAGGGACAGTGACCGCTAAAAGAGCTCCAGCTCCAGCCGCTCTGCAGCTTCGCCATAGAAACTCACAGCTTTGCTTCTCAGCTGGTGGCTTCGCACTTCTGTTCTGAAAAAAAGGAAAAAAAAAACACGTTTCCGCCGGTGAATGAAAAGGTAATTAGTTTTTCGCACAAGCCCTACGTTGCAACTCACAATACAAAGAAAACAATCAATGAAAATGCATTAAATTCGGGTTTATTTTCATGCAATTACTAGTTTGTGTCATGCAAGTTTATGTCTCACAGTTTTGAAGGAGAATAAAAAATATTTAGAGCAAGCTTAAACTTGGAAAAAGCATAAAATTAGTATTTATTTTCTTGCAATTACTAGTTTGTGTCTTGCAAGCTAATCTCTCACAATTTTAAAGAAAAAGTATTTGTTTTCAAAAGCTTACATTTGAAAAAGGCATGCAATTCTGATTTATTTTCAATTACTAGTTATATATCTTGAAAGTTTATCTCTCACAATTTTAAAGGAAAAAATATATTTAGAGCAAGCTGAAACTTGGAAAAAGCATAAAATTAGTATTTATTTTCTTGCAATTACTAGTTTGTGTCTTGCAAGTTGATCTCTCACAATTTTAAAGAAAAAAGTATATTTAGAGCAAGCTGAAACTTGAAAAAGCATGCAATTCTGATTTATTTTCATGCAATTACTAGTTTATATCTTGAACGTTTATCTCTCACAATTTTAAAGGGAAAAAATATTTAGAGCAAGCTAAAACTTGAAAAAAGAATACAATTCTGATTTATTTACATGCAATTACTAGTTTATATCTTGAAAGTTGATCTCTCACAATTTCTATTTAGTCTCCACTTTCCTTACTAATATGCAACTCCCTCTCTGACTCCTCCACTAATTACAAAAAAAATAAATAAATAAAAATAATAAACTACTAATGCTTTCCTTCTTAGACTTTACACACCTGAAACTTCCCTACAGCACTTATTCATTGTTGCTCTTATAGTTGTGTAAATTGCTTCCTTGTCCTCATTTTTAAGTCGCTTTGGATAAAAGGGTCAGCTAAATGACTGAATGTAAATGTAAATGTATATTTAGAGCAAGCTTAAACTTGGAAAAAAACATACAATTCTGATATATTTTCTTGCAACTACTATAGTCTGTGTTTTGCAA